GAGAGAGAGAGAGAGAGAGAGAGAGAGAGAGAGAGAGAGAGAGAGAGAGAGAGAGAGAGAGAGAGAAAGAGAGAGAGAGAGCAAAGGACCACATCAGAGGGAAGGTTATGTGAAGGGTCTTTGCGAAAATAGCATAGACCCTCACGAAATCGAAGCAGGCGTTGTGTTTGAAAGAGAGCACGAGCTGGCCGAATATGCAGTTATGGTTTGCTCACACAGCTCTCTGCACGTGATTCTCAGAGCTTGGCTACACTACTCACCAAATGTGCAAAATTAGAATGAATCTTCTGCTAGAACACAGAACCATACGCTGCCATATGTCGTTTTTTTTTACCCTTTGTGCATTTGGTGAGTAGAGGCCCTTAGGGCCATTGCACGCATTCCTAAGAAAAAGAAAACGAGAAACAAAGAATCATGTCCAGAGAGCAACAAGTGACCCATAACCACAGACAGATACACAGACCTGAATTTGAATCCAGACTATATATTCTAATAAGCCCACACAAGCAAACCTCAAAAAGCTTATCGCCCATCTCTGCTTCGCAATGTGGATTGTTACTCAATCATGGTAGGGGCCCTTCAGAAAGGAGACTGGATACAAATAGGACATGCACAGCCACACGCACACACACACACACACACACACACATACACACAAATACACACACACACATACACACACATACACACATACACACAATTTGGGGTATGATGCGGCCCCAACATTTTTTCCTCTTGCAGTTTGGTTTTTAGAAGAGGGGCATGTTTAGCCACCCCACCTTGTGTCCTATCAGAATTTTTTTATTGTTTTTTTTGGCGTGCACATGCGCATCCACTCTGCGCCGCACGTGCGACGACCCTGCGCACGGGAAGCGCCGCAAGTATGGATCGGACCCTTAGATCGTCAAACAGAACTGCCCAGTAAACCATCGGCAGAGGGAGAAAGAGGACGACAAACGAGGAGCTGTGACATTTTCTCGCAGTTTTTTACACTTCGAACCATCACGACACTCGACACGCGACACGCGACACTGGACATTACAAGCAAACAGACCATCAGAGCATCATCAGGATGTTACTCGCAAGCTCTACTCTGTGCGGGGAGTAAACAATCTACGATCAGTTGTATTTTTTTCGCTTTGAGTTTTCTACTACTTGCTCTTTTTGTCTGCTTTGCCGTTCCTTGGCCTTGCTGCTTCTTGGCTTGTTGTCTTTTCTTTTGCTGCCTGGTGCTGTTAGTCTGCCCACCCACCTTCATTCCTTGCTGCTGCTTGACAGTCCAATGCTGCTCCTTTGCTTGTTGCCTGTTCCTTTGCTGCCTAGTGCTCTTTTGTCTGCCTGCCCGCCCGCCTGCCTCCCCCCTCCCCTCCACCCTATATTCTCTGCTGCTGCTTGTCATCAATTGCCTCGTTGCTTCTTGACCTTTGCCTTATCATTTTTTTGGCCTTGCTGAACTTGCCTTGCTGCCGTTTGACTTTTGTCTTTGCCTAATGGCTGTGTTCACTTCATGGCATTTCAAAGGTGTGCGCATCCACTTCATGGCCTTTCAAAGGTGTGCACATTCAGTTTATGGGCATGCCTCTTCATGCCGTGGCACAAGCATACACATGAGAACAGACGCACACACACACACACATACACATCCACCCACCCACATGCACGCACGCACACTCTCGTGCGCGTGCGCACACACACACGCACGCACACACACACACACACACACACACACTCA